AAAAAAAAAAAAAAAAAAAAAAAAAAAAAAGGTCAATCCAAGTAAAGGTATGCAAGGATTATTTGTATTATCATTGTAACCTATTTGTAAGTTTGAAATGATCTCCAATTAAAATGTTTGAAGTGTTATGGATTAAAAAATGTACTGAGTGTGGTGTCAAGCATTTTAACCTTCCTTGCCCTGGCAGCTACCCTGAAGAGTTGATGGTATTCCCAGAGCACGGAAAACTCACTAGAAACCACGATGCCCGCCTAACCTATAGTTTATTATGAAAAGTTCAGTACTGACATTTTTCATATTCCCTGGGAATATGGAAAATAGGGAAACATGGGGAGACTAAGGCAGTTAGCATAAGGGGTAAAACCCAAAACAAGAATCAGTGGACCCCATAAGGTAAGGGTGCTATTAAATCAGTCACACATGACAGTGATAAAGCAACATAAAAGTCCGTGAGGGCTCAGGACATTTCTAGTAAGCAATGCACCTCCTCTACATCTGCCTTCATAACACACAAGTATAATCTTTCCTGAGGTGAAAGACACATTAACCATGTCTACAGTTTCTCTCCTACCTTTTGAAGAATTTGGCTCAAAGAAACAAACCTCCTCTGGCTAGTTTAAGCAAAAGAGAATTTAAGATTTAATGTTTCATGGAAGTAAAATGCAGGTAATACAGACTTCATGAAAACAAGGACCTTTGGTGCTCTCTCCCCACCCCCACTCTTACCCTCAAACTCCCCATTCCTACCTCTCTCATCACCTCATCTCTCATTTCTGCTCATCTCCCTGTACCTGCTTCTTTTGTTTGCTTTTTCCTGCTTCATATCACTTTCCTGTTCAAGTACTGAAAAGGGTCCAACAATTACTTCCAAATTCCATTCCAATTCCAAAGCTTTTTTTTTTTTTTTTTGAGACCAAGTCTCATTCTGTCACTCAGGCTGGAGCAACGGATCTCAGCTCACTGCAACTTCTGCCTCCCAGGTTCAAGGGATTCTCCTGCCTCAGCCTCCTGAGTAGCTGGGATTACAGGCGCCTGCCACCATGCCTGGCTCACTTTGTATTTTTAGTATAGATGGGGTTTCACCATGTTGGCTAGGCTAGTCTCAAACTCCTGACCTTGTGATACGCCAGCCTGAGCCTCCCAAAGTGCTGAGATTACAAGTGTGAGCCATCCTGCCTGGCCAGAAGACTGTACATTTCTATTTTGAGTTTGTCTTCCTGAAGTGGCATCCATAGGAGAATATGTATGCTAATTGTTTTCTGTATATGATTTAATAGTGTTATTCTCAGACTTTATTTATTTTGAGGCAGACCCTCAGTCTCTCACCTAGGCTGGGGTACAGTGGTGCAATCGCAGCCCACTGCAGACTCAAACTCCCAGACTCAAGCAATTCTCCCACTAAGCCCCCAGAGTAGCTGACACTACAGGCATGCACCACTATGCCCAGCCAAGTTTTTAAATTTTTGTAATGATGAATTCTCACTGTTACCCAGGCTGGTCTCAAACTCCTGGCCTCAAGCAATCCTCCTGCCTTGGCCTCCCAAAGCACCAGGATTACAGGCACAAGACACTGTGCCTGACCTCTTTTCTTTATTCTTAAGGATCAAAGCCTTAAAAATATTTTAGCAAAGGCCTCAGGAAATTTTCTACATAAGGAAAAAATCTTCTTTCAGCATGAGCAAAGTGCTAGATTCCAGAAGTTGAAAGAATACATTTCTATTTCAAGCCCATAATTCACAATCTAACTACTGTGACCATAGCTGACACAAGTTCATGACATAAACTCTAATGAATGGTTTGTGAAGACAATATAACATATTAGACATTGCTT